TGGTGCATTTGAAGGGACAAAGGATATTGCTCAGTTTAGTGAGGATCAGCCAAGTGTAAACGAGAGAGTAATTGCTAAATTGACTTGCATGAATAAGGCCATTTCTAGTTTCAAGTTACTATTTGAATGCTATTATCTTTGTTGTAAATTATTCTGTATCTACGCGTGGTTGACCGGATACGTCGTGTGTTTGTTCGTCATCTATATTCTACGATACAATGATATGAGCGTGTTACCGTTCAGATTTGAGGATATAGCTAATAGAGAGAAATCAGCAAATGAAATCTGCGACGATTTTCCAACCTAGGGCGTCAACCTGAGAAGGGTTGTAGGCGTACTGCTGTAAGTCCTACAATTCTTCAAAGGGTAGCGCATCAATGAGCAGTCCAATGTGCTTGGTGTGTGGTTTTGTACATATGTTCATCTAGTATATACTCTATTATTATCATCTCAAATCTATCTGTTGCTATTCCTGTTTGTGTCGGGACATTCTTCAAATTACCACCGTCAACCTGAGAAGGGTTGCAGGCGTACTGGTGTAAATCCTGCAATTCATCAAAGGAATTGTATCAAGACATGATCTGCGAGTTTATGTGTACTGTTTGTATATATGTGTGGTGTGTCATATCAATTGGTGTTTTCGGATTCACTGTGTTTACTTGTTGTTTTCGTACTTTGTTGTTATTGCATAATTTGGTTAAAATTTTCGCCGAGCTTACTTCTGAAGTTCTTTCAGGTTTTCTACATCCGTGAATGAATTGATTGATTTTAAAGACAACAGATGGGTCGTATACGCCGGGGAGGCTATTGCTGAGAATGATATGCACGCGGAGATAAGGATCAGCTGTGGTCCCTCACGCTGGGGAGCGGGAGTGTAGACGATTGAGGCTTGCAAACGTCACCGTTACTAGAACTAAGGCAGAATGAGTGACAAACGATTGCAGTGATAATTGGTAGTGAGTAGATAAGAGGATGTGTGTAGAGTATCGTGAGGTGCTGCTATGGTCACATTGCATTCTGCAAGAGTCATTCCAGCAAATGGCGAATGTGTTGCAAGATGTCAGGAGGATGTCTTTATCTGGAATGCGAAGGTCGTAATCGACGTATGGGATTGTGCTGTGGGTATGCCTGTGGTGTGTTGGCTTTTCTGTTTGTTTTCCATTTCAGCTCTGTCCGTGTAACCCAGATTCTCACAATGGCATCCAAGTCAACGTGTATTGTTCGTGATGGAAAAAAGGGATGGATCGCTTTATTGCCGGGGCGTGTCAATGTAGTTGAAGATTGAACGATCAATTCATGGTTTTTTGCTCAAAACCAACTTCCTTAATTTTCGCGGAGGCATCAATACACCAGTCATCGTCTCATCGGTCGCTGTTCAGAAAGAAGTCAGGAGACAACTGTCAGAAGTAATATTGTGATTTAAAAAAGGCATGAAATAAAAACAACTGGCTTGAAAATAATTGTATTAAAGCCAAAAGTGGACATCATGATAGTATGAAATATATTGGTTTTATTATACATTGCAAATGAACGTTGTCGGCCTAAGGATTAATTACTTCCCCATTCTGTTTTCTATATAAATGTGTTTATTAATTATATATTTCACTCACTTAATCTATTACACTTTAATGTTTCACCTTAGCACTTTAACTTTTCTAAAACAGCTTCCAATCCCTTGTAAACGTTGTACTTACCTCAATATTGGTTGGTTATCGTATGCCTACAACCACGGGATGAAAACGAAACGAAGTCGATTTTCCCGCTCAACCTGGAGAACAACTGTACAATTCAATAACTATACGGCCTGGTTCAGACAATGAGTGTAATTATATATATGTATCAAATATTTAACTGTTGAAACATTATTAACTTGCAGACAATTTAAAATTTGACAAATCCGAACGGTAAGACGCCCATTACATTGTATCGTAGAAGATAAATGACTAGCAAACACACGACGTATCCGGTCAACCACGCCCAGGTACAGAATAATTTACAACAAAGATAATAGCATTATAAATTATTCAAATAATCCGAATAAATATGCTGAAGGAGCTGTGGCTTACACGGCGAAACGTTCAGAAAAATTTTGTTTTGATTTTCTTAACACGCTGGGATTAATTTAAATAATTTATAATGAATCAATCTGACACGGCGCTCAAATTATTCCAGGAAATTCGTAATACCTACGGTCTGGAAACCTATAAAGATAATAGGATCGAAATAGTAACTTGAAACTAGAAATGCCTTTATTCATGCGAGTTAATTCAACAATTACCCTCTCGTACACGCTTGACTTGTCCTCACTAAACTGACTAATATCAATCCTCCTTTCAGACCGACTGATACTAGCCTAATCATAGCCTAAGACACGTTAGTTCATAGACTCCCTTTTATTGTGGATGACAACACGAACGACGACTGAACGATACATGTTTATGTACTTATTGGTGCATCAAAGGCCGTCGTTGTTCGGCTTTTAGAAGTTTGTCTGGCGGCAAGATTACCACCAATGCTGTCTTTTGTTATTAGATCCAGTTTAGCATTAAATTCTCTCGACAGTTTGGCCACACGCTGATCATTTACACTGACGTCCTCGGGATTGTCCATACCTTCTTTCACAACATCTCTTAAATCAACTTCACGTTCAAGTTCTACAGGACTTTTATTCAACACCCCTACAGTTTTTACTTTTTAAAACGTTTCATCTGCTACCTATACAGCAAGCATTTATACAGCTGACTGATTTTCTCTTCCCTGTAGTCTTCAATAAGCTGGGTCAGTCTAATTATTTTCAGAGACAATTATATGAGCAACCGTACTTTTTGATATTTTACATATATAATTATTGTGATATACTGTACTATTTTTGTGTTGAAATGACCACCTTCAGTCAGTTGATGCCAATTTTCAATTAATTTTCTAAAATTCATATTGTTTAAACTACGCAGTAGTTTTTCCACAAAGTTGGTGAATCACTTTGCAATGTATAACGCACAGCACACAAAGACCTGTCGTGAAAATTTAGCAAAATAAGTTCTGCTGACCAGTTGTATCTCTCAGGACCGTTCTACATAACTTTATCAGTAATTGTTCCGCTACTCATATCACTGTGATATATAGAATACAAATTAAATGCTGCAATACTAGCTATTTCCATAATCTATAAGGGAAACTTAATTTCCTAGTCTTATGTAGTGACCCAATTGTACATTTGTACGAAGACAATACTGCCAAGAATGTCTTCAGGTATTCATGTGTCTGGTGGGAAGCACTTGACATGAAAGCTGTGTGCAGCATACTTTATGACTAGCACGGGGTCAAAGCAACTCAATATTACAGCCACAGTCATCGCAAAGGGTCTGAGAGCCTAATTCCAAAAAGGAGTGAGGGTGGCGCATGCTGATCAGCAGATAAAGTGATACTCTGATTGAACACTAATAACTAGTGTGATGTGTCTAGCTCTTTCCTTGGTGCAGACAGAATTCTGTCATTCAGGTCCCAGGCCTGAGGCTTCCTACCAATGCCTCCAACCAACTAAGGTATGATGGCAGTCACAAATGTGAATCGCTCCGATCTGTTAGACAGCGACACACTTTTTTTGACAGCTTGGAAATTAAACATTGGTTTGGACCCTCAATATAAGGAAATTAACTTAAAAACAATAATGACTGCATAGATTCGAATCTTAAAAATGCTTTCGTCCCTAACGTCCACAGGCCTGCTCAGCTTGTTGTCAAGATGCTACCCCATAGACCCTACACAAATTCGCCAAGCATCTTACAGGTCAGAATATCCTACGGGTTCTAATCTTTCAAGCTAATTCTCTCTGAAATTTCACTTGTGTACTTCATGACGGTTCTTTCCGTCTAATTACCATTATACTCTACTTTATCTAAACTCCCTAGGCCTTTGATAAAGCTAAAATTTGCTCTTTTCATTCACATTTTTCGCTCGCTTAAAGTCCGGTTGTTTTGATGAGGAAAAAACATAACATCAACACCCATGTTTAAAAATACCCATATTTTCATCGAAAACGTCATAGTTATCCATGGTAAGACAAATATGGTTAGCACTGAACACTGCAAATGCATACTATCATTCCAAGTACTCTGTGGCTCCTTCTTGTACTTTCTTGTAAATGTACTTAGAGAGATCTACTATCCAGAATTGCATTTCATACGACTTTGCAGCCTTCCAGGACGTTCTTTTTCCCTGAAATGGCGTTCAATCGCGCGGGGTGTATAGTGATTCCCTAAATATACGCTGTTCACTGATCGACCGTAACTATCAGCAGGCAACGGGACGAAGTTTGGGTTGTTGCTCAACCTCAGTGGTGACCTTAGTGTTTATCTTCCACGGGGTGGGATTGCTAGCTTCATACCTAATCTTTCTTCTCTAATAGCTTTATATATGGCTTAGTGAGGTAAAGAAGTGCGTCGACGGGGAATCGAACCTTGCTCCATGTGCATGGTCGGCAAGCGTCTTAACTGCTGTGCCACCGACGCGTATGCTAACTAGTAAACGGCATTTTGGGTACTGAAATATATGCCACCTCCTGGATACTGGTATAAACACACTGAAAATTATTCGGATTACTTGCTTTTTAGTTACTAAATTTAGTTGTCTATCTACATGTTTGTTAGTTTTTCTAATAAGCCTAATCGTATTTATTATTGCTATCGACTCTTCGACCACACCAGACTAATTTCAAATGGAGTGATCATTTGCGTTCACAGCAGTGGCATGGTCATAATACGACATGTGCTGTCCATCACGTACAGTCAGTCTCCAAGCCACAACGGCGGTTGAGTGTTGGGACATATTATGATGTTTGCCGAAGATCTTAAACATTTACGTTAAAAAAAAGAAGCCAGACAGAAGAAATCACTTTGCTTCATGCTACCTAGTAAAAAGAGCACTAAATATTGAATAGATGACGCCATTCCGAGAAGACTGCAATTATATTCGTGGTTTGTTTTACTACTGCAATTAGATCCATTTAAAAGACCGACCTAAAGAGCCGCAGCTTTTGATGAATTGTTGGAGTTGGTGTGTTTTTAATTTCTGTACGTTGTTATGGCATTTTTGTTGCTCTGGGCCATAAATTTCGGATCAGTTTTGGCAGGTACTTATTTGTTCACTTCTTCACGGCCTTCAGAGTCATCTGTAAAAACAAACTTTATTGGTTCGGTAGCCGTATGGCCAAAAGCACAATTCCCTGTTGAATTGGGACAAACTGTAACTTGGTTGTTCAGTCCAATAGGAGGTGCTGAATATGATGTAAACTCAGCTCTTAGCTTTGATGTCAACGGTCAAAGGGCGTATCGTGTCCAAAAGGACAAATGTGGTGGCCCTCTGGAAAAGTACTTTTCGTGCATTTACAAACCTAAAAATGAAATATCTGTTACATTCACGCCGGAGGCATCCCATTACGGCCAATTGCTGGAGATTTTTTATTATAAGGATATGTACTCATTATGGCTGGCAGATACTTCCGCAATTTTCTCCGAAACCATTCAGGTATGCAGGTTTTTTTCTTTTGTTTTGGAATTTAATGGCACAGTGATAAGGAATTTCCCTCACCCCCTGATTTAAGATGCAGCATAGTAGTGAAAGAATGCTGTTCATATTCAGGTTTCGCTTTGTTCGAAGCTAGAAGTCTATAGCATTAATAAAGCTTGAGATGACTGCTAGACTTCAGTTCCATAACTGCTTGTGTTGATCTGTTAATGTCCTTATTTATGACTTGTGACGTCACTGACCTCCGTAGCTTACGAATAATGTGGTTTCCAGTGTTGTTTGCAGATAAGTATTTAACCCTAAATTGGTAGAGTAGCATCAGCTTTTGCTATATCGACCCTTTGACTGCTGTTTTTCAGGTGTGACTGAATTAGAAAGTGTAAATATGCGACCTGTTGTTGTGTAGTTACACATCCATACAACACTTAATATTCTGCTAGATTCTAGCCCTTACTGTAACTAAAAAATTCCTTCCTTAAGCAACTTGTGACTCCATTTGCCACAAGGGTAACAGGCCGATCTTGCGCCAATCTTACTTGTACAAGTGGAGAATCTGTCGCTTTAACTAAATCAAATGTTTCCAAGGTCTTCGAGTAGTCAGTACTATTTCTATGATGTTTAGCAGTTCTGTCATAAGTATGAAACTTTCTATTCTGCATATAAATGCCAATAGGTTTCTGCTACACCATGCGTACAGATTGACTCAGACAGACCGATTCTAAAGATAATTCGGAGCGACAACTTCAAATGCAAGCCGATTAAGAGTGTCCTCAAACAAAACACAGGAACGACAAAGGATAAATAGATGGAAAAGTCTTCGTTGGTGGATAACACCAGACTACAAATCAGGTTCATTAGGGAAACATTGCAAAATACCAATAAAAAACAAAATTTCCAAGAACGGTACTTTAATTACCTCTGAGGAAAGATGACTGGAACGTTGAAAAAAGCACTGATGAACTAAAAAGTTGATTTAAAGCCAGGTAAAATTTGCCAAGTATCCAGCACCTACCTGAAGGGGATACCGATATCGACCGTCCAACTGTAATGGGTTGTGAAAGCTGTCTGTAATCTGGAACAAGGCGAGTCGGCAGGACTGGATGGGATAATTGCAGAATTTTCTAACGGTAGTGGTGATGAAGTGTTTCCTGGGTTAACTGAGACATTAGGTAATGTGTAAACACACGAAATAGTTCCACTAGACTGATGTATATCATTGATTATCGCGGCTTATAAAGAGGGGAACAGGTCTTTTATTGATATTCGTAGATTATAGGTCTGATCCATGTATCTGAAATTCTAGGTGTAGTAATCATTCATGGATTATGTGAAGCTCGGGAAAGGAAGCCCATGAAAACCAGTAGGGCTTTAGGCCAGATTGACAGTGTATTGATCTCTTCACTCTTCGACAGATTTTAGAACACCGGGCATAGTCGGTGGTGTCCAACACATGCCGTATTTCTCTGCTTGAAGGTGTCATCGTACTCCATCGGTCTAGGAATTGTATGCTAATGTCTAACTGAGGAAACATTTAGGTCCTACGTTGAAAATTCTATTAATTCCCCACAGATGCCTCGAAAAACATTGGTGACAGCATTGAAGAGAAATAGCAAAATTGGTCAGTCTTGTCTAGTTTCACCGATGGTTGGAAACAGTGGTGGTAGTTAGTTGTACGCTCTCAGTGTATCTGAAGTGCTCTTGTGTTATGCTTTCAAACTTTTCCGAAACACAACTCTAGCTGAGATTTCTGAAGATCATTTGTTTAACGAATCGAAGGTAGTTCTGATGTTGACGGTATTCTAACAACCGAAAGATGGTAAACACATGGTCAGTACCAAAGACCTGAATTAAACCCGGTTCGCTTTGCGAATAATTTCTCATGGGTTTTACAAAGTCTCTAACACATGATAGAGGGTAGTATTCTAGATATAACTAGTAACAGACGAATAGTCGAAAGACTTTCACATACAGCACATGCGAGAAAGTTTGTGGTAAGTGAAGGAATAGCCGCGTGATATTAGTCATTACCTAGTGTCAATTCAAAGCATCCATTACAGCCCTACAGGAGGTCAATTGAGAGGCCGAATAGCTCAGTGATAACGTCTCTGAATGCAGCATTGTCTGACTCGGGTTTGAATCTTAGAAGGGACTTGAGTTTCTTCAATACTGGAGATACGCCTAGCTGACGCGTGTCAGCCAATATAAAACCTAAAGCCAAAGCTTCCTGACGATCGCCTCCAACCACATAACAGCAATATCATTCAAGTGGATTAAGTGAAAGATTTCTATAAGTATATAGTAAATGTGTAATTGGCAATAGATTGATTCCTCTCTTTTAAGGGTGGTTTTCCGCTTAACTTTCACTTGCCAACCTCTTATTTTACATCTCTACCAGGTGCTTTTAATGATTTTATGAAAATTTCCGATATTGTTTTGTACGAAGTTGACGTTAATGTAAAAAAAACCTGATTTTGTTTCAGTTAATCAAACAACCCACCTTTGTCAAGATGTCAATGGAGTTGAAGGAAGCCTCTCGCTATATACATAGTGTACCAACTAATCTTCGTTTGGATCCCCCGATATTTCTTACGGGCTCTAACGTCCGAATCGATTGTTCAACTGATGGATCATTGCCTCCAGCTCCGATTAGTTTCAGTATTGAATGCCCTCCCCCACCAACAGCTGTTGTTGAACATGATCGAGTTACTCAAGCTAAACAAAATTTAGCCTATGAAGTTTTCTATTCAGCATATGGATTTCGTTCACCACCAACTTTAGCTGATTTAGCTCCCTATGTTGCCCGAAAACATGCTGATCAATTGTTGCGTCTCGGTCATGTATCAACTAGCAAAGATAATTTAACTCTAAAAGCCCGTCTTACTATCAACGAAAAGGCGCATGATTGTCATGTTGTTTGTCGCTTAGGTGGAAAAGAAACCCGTCGCAGACTAACGGTTTATTGTAAGTTTACTCATTTACTGTTTTATCATCGTAAACGAAAGTATTTTTAGTCCTCATTTAAGTAAATACTTTTCATGTGGTTATCAGTTATCTGAAGATAATCCTAGGTGATTTGGCTTCTGTTGGTTTTATTAACTTACACAGTTCCAAATAAAGTTCAACAGTTCTAAAATCGCCGCAGAAAAAACAAAGTGGCGAAGAGCACTAACCAGTCATCTTTGATCTATGGGTTCTGACTACAAGCATGTCGAACTAGTAGGTTGTGAAAGAATATGATACAAACTTTCGAATCTTTTGACTACCTTTAGTGACCTGGATATGAACTGTACTGCTGTACGTAACAGATGAGACTTTGAATCCTACTTTTGAAGATCCTGTGCCAAACGGGGGTAGAGAAGTTTATGTTTTGTCGTTTCGGGCCACGTGGGGAAGGCTTGGCATGCAAGTTGTCGAAGTCATTACAAATAATCGGAGGCTTTCTTACCTGGTTGCTGTCAGCGGCGTAGGAGTGGATTCACGTAGGTAGAAGAGCTGTTATGTGACCCAAAGCATTCGTTCAAAATATCCCAGTTTCTGGCAAGTTTGTTGGCTTTCGCAAGTCCCCCGGTAATAGTTTGGATAAATGCGTGAACACAGCGCCAATATTATCAGCAGACAGTAGTTCATCAGTAGGCAGCCGCTTAGTGTACACTGCATGCGAAGTTTCCGGACTTCGATAGCTGGCAGTGCTAAAGCCCGGACACCGTGTATAGACTTTGAATTTAGAGAAACCTGCGGGTGGCTCGTCTTTACCAGAGATAGGGTCCATGTTGACGCTAAAGGTGTAACACCTCTGACTCCAATTTATGTAAGGAAGACTAAAGCTCGGACAGTGGCAACCGACATGACACACTGAAGCAACCGCGGAAGGACACGGAACTCAGAAGCAAGGCAAAAATGCATTCTTATAAGAACAAGAAATACGGATTTGTGCGTGCAGATTCAAGGTACGAGTTTAAGGAGGACCTAGCTAAGTGTCTTGATACATTGATTATTAAAAAGGCAATTGCAGCGAAAAAAGTTCTCTCTTTGACGAAGTCATCAATTAGGCTATACCTTCGTGTGTTTATAATAAATGTGTAAGAAAGTTCCAGGATTATTTCCAGTCAATTGTTAAATTAATAGAATTACAAAGCTTAATAAACAGAAAGATCGAGTAGAAAAGACGTAATATGATTATAATTACTGAAAAACTTACCTGTCTATACAATTATGGATTAGGGACGTAGTAACAACGAAAATAAACAACTACCAAATCTATTAGTTCAGGTAGGAATTAAAAACGTAAAAATAACAGAAATAAACAGGAAGGTTGGATAAGAAAGGTAATTGGGTTATTGTCATTGGTGGGACTAACTTTTCATGATGGCTAGGGTAGGGACAACGGTTGGATGTACTTCTTTTAAAAACATAGAGTGGGCTTGAGTTTTTGGGTCACCAGTGTCTCAGCTACTCCTAAATGTCTCTATTTCACTCCCTTTGGTAGATTTGATCGGATTTTGTATATGGTTTCGAGGAACTTTTCAAATGGAGCAGAATGTCCCGAATTCACCAGATGTTCTGTTACCGAACTTTGTACACCCTTGTATTCTCCGTATGCTAACCATGTTGGATAGTATTCCCAAGCGCGTTTTACAAGTGGGCGCATGCTACGGCCTATGTATTCGACTCCACATATGCAAGTGAACTGGTATATACATTTTAAAGTGGCCTAATGCTACAGCTTCTCTTTCACGTGCTGTTTGAATAGTTTCTTGCAGGAAAATGTCACTATCGCAGGCCGGCGGCTAAATATGTTTTACTGAGAGACTTCGAAAGCCGTCTACTGAGAAGTGACTTACTTATCATTAACTGTCGTGTGAATTGAAACTGATTTACCACTTTTGTTTGAAAAGTGAGTAAAAAGCTTCGTGGTCTATTAAATGATTTATTAGGATAGTATAGACTGAAGTTACTGTGTTTAGAAGAAACATTAATAGGAAAATGACCAGTAGGTAAACAGTGTCTGACGTGATATATTTTTACTGCACATCATTATCTAATAAGTCTCGATTTCCCAATCATCTTGTAAATGCCTACATCTTTAGCATAAACTGCCAAACTATCGAGTGTATCCACCTGTCTCTGCCTCTTCTGTTTATCATAGCCAAGGTCTCGTGGTTCCGCCTTATTTCTCAGATTTACATTCAGATAGCATAGCCTGCTAAAAAAACTAAAAGTTATTCCCAGCGTTATATGATTTAATGTGCATTGGTTAGACGTTTACTCTATTTGTAATAATCTTGTACGTATATCTGTGACCTGCACTGTCTAATATTTTTTCACAGATCCAACAACTATATCTTATTTGCTACCGCGCCCTCGTGAAGGTTTCGTCTACGTTGGCTCTGATATAACATGTTATGCAGATGGTCACCCACCTCCAATGCTTTCTCTCCGTCTTACACAACCACTGCGTCCACCCAACCCACTTACTGCTGAAGAAATTGATGCCTTACGTCAAGGTGGTCGGTTACCTCCTCTACTTGAGGATGATCCAATAACCAGAGAACTAACTCTTAATAATGCAGGATTGGATATTGCCCCACAACAGATGATACCTTCTCCTGGGACAGAAGACAAAGAGAGTTCTTCTGTTGCATCTTCTGGTACACTTCATCAAGTTCCAGTTAGTTCAGATGAAAAATGGCTTAATGGGAATGGAAAAGAACCTTACGAGCGGGCACATCGTGTTCCTGGACTTGGTTTGTCTACAGTTGAAAGACATCGTCAGTTAGGTCTTCGACCTAATGAATATACTATACAAGGAGCAACATTTTATTTAGCCCCAAATGCTACTCCAGGTGTAGAACTTGTTTTAAGCTGCACTGCAAGAAATGTACTTCCAGGTGATACTACTTTCTTGGGACTAAATGGAACAATAACTCGAACTAGATTTGTAGTAGCTGGTAAGTTAATGTTTTTAATAAAATCAAAATTTTGTCTGGTATATATATATATATATATATATATATATATATATATATATATATATTCAAGAATATAACTGTGCCATCCAGTTGTCCTATGTATGTTGAAACTGTACGTTCTCTCGTTGTTGTCTTATATTCCTTCGACTAGAATCTGCACTTGTCTACATTTCCACATTGTAGTGTTAGTCCGTTTAATGCTGAAAGTTGTTTTCTGAAGATTGTTTTGGTACTGATGATTTGGTTTTTGTAAAAAAAGAAATCCATACAAAAAACTGCACAATAGTCTAATATTCTTGTGTGCATCTTGCCAAATATTGATTCTAAATTCACTATATTTATTTTAAATAAGATAATCGAGTGACATGTTGTGAGATATCGAAAAGATGTACACGAGGTTTCTTAGCTCAATTTTTAAGTTTGTAATTCCAAAGAGTCATTCATATTGAGTCGTTCCTCATTACAGTGGTTCTCTAAGCGAAATCGGTTAAATCCCTGAAAATATTAACCTAGTGTTCATTGGTAACTGACTACTCGATGAAGTTGTCTGAATTTCTAGGGGGGAAGTCGTGACTAGCGAGGTTCACCAAGCTGAGTGTGAGGACTGATAGTCACTGATGATACTGACTGGCAGTTGCGCTATATATCACAAGAACTGACAGAAGTTAAAATTCATGGGATGCTCACTGAATTGCGTCCCAGTTGCTGGATGGTCTACAACTTTGCCTTGTAACCTGTCTGTCTGTCTGTCTGTTTTCGACATAGAACTTTGCACAAATGTGCGGAAGTTCAAGTCGCCACATTCCGTGTAGCACGCGAAGCAAGAGAAGAAAGTACAAGAAAAGCAAATAGAAACAGTGAGCAGAGGTGTGAGACAAAGGAGTAATAAAGAAATACAAAACAGTTTCATTGGAGATCATAAGTCACAGGGAGTGGATGCATCTGCGCCACTGAGAACGATTTTGAGCCATGTCACCAATTGTTTCCAACCATAGATTTTTGCCGTCCCGAGGACCCCAGCCTGGAAGTCTGCACCTTCCTACGTGGCTAAGACCAACTGTTGTGGATTTCATTGACTGATGCCAAGTTTTTGTTTGACCGCCGCTAGGTTTTTTCCAGCCTGACCCTATATCCGCTAACATTGCTCGTCGAGGGAGGCGATGGCTTGGCATACGTAACACATGTCCTAACCATCTCAGTCGATGTAGCTTCACGACTTCGTCGATTGATTTCCCCTGTTTACCTAGAACTCTACGCCTAACCTCCATGTTGCTCACCTTATTATGCCACTTTACACGGGATATAGAACGCAGGCACCTATGATCAAAGACAGCTAGTCTTTTCATGTCTTCCACTCTGAGTGGCCAGGTCTCACAACCATAAAGGAGGACGGAGCGGACTGATGAGCAGTACACCCGCCCTTTGGTCGATAGTCGAACATCTCGTCTACGCCAGAGTCGGCGTAAACTAACAAATGCGAAACGAGCCCCTTGTATTCGTGCTGAGATTTCGTCAGAGATCAGCCCGTTGGCGTTGGCTGATGGTACTTCCCAAATAAGTGAAGCGGTCAACGTGCTCTACCACTTCACTTCCTATTTCTAAACTAGGAGCCAGCGTAGTCCAGTCCTGTAACATCATCTTGCATTTGGCGGGAGCGAATCGCATGCCAAACATTCGTAGATTGCTGTTCAAGGTGTTTAGAAGACTCTGCATTTCGTCAGCGTCTTCGCCTAGAAGGACTATATCGTCTGCATATTCCAAGTCAACGAGATTATTCCCAGGTAGCAAGTCAATCCCTGAATCGCTGAAGTCACCTAGGGTTAAGTCCATTAACACATCTATGATGAAGTTGAATAGAAAAGGAGATAATGGGCATCCTTGACCTAAAGGTTCCCGGTGGTGGGTCATGATGACTTATTGGTGGAGAGTCCCAAACATGGGCGAAATAGCTGTTCAGTAGTAAAACAGCATTTATGTTCCGATTGTTGTGGGTTTTACTGTTGTTGTTATTATTATCTAAAATTCAATTAAATAATTAATATGGCCTGTTGCACAAGAGGTGACTCTCGTGGCTCAAGTGGTCTAGTGGATAACGCTTCAACTGGCGTTTGAAACTATGGGCACTGGGTTCGATCCTCGGTAGGAACATCACCACTCACTGCGGAATGCAGGTACATCCAGTGATGAGTTCCAAATAGGACGAAGTGCACATCCTGGATTCCACTGCTAGTCACCGTCTACCAATTAACCCCTAATTACATGCCTAGACATCGTCAAAGCATCTGCACAAGAAGCCGACATGTCAACCTGATACCGAGCACTTCGGTCCAATCAATCAATCGACGGGAAAATCTAAAATTCAATTAAATTATTATTGTTGTTACTACCACTGCTACTACTATCTTTCTTATTGCTTGTAACATCTTCATTCTACTCAAATTATAATGTTTTAAAACTATGAAATAGCTCCATCTAAAGAGGCTTACGCTGACTGGGGTAAGTGCACCCGCTCTGTCCGCCAAAAAGATGTCTGATTCAACCGTTTCATAATAACATGTGTATATGGCTTACCAATTTTTTGTTTTAACGTGTTTGTATATGTGTGTACTTTTATCCGTATTTCATATTTCGAAAAGTAATTGATTGTCTACTTTTAATGAAATCTAATTTTTCCTGTAAGCCTAAATTATTTATTTCTCTTTCAGTGTTGCATGTTACTTGTGATTTGTCAAGAAAACCAAACCTTTTCGTAATTTATTTTATATTTTTATAATGTGCTATAATTCAATTTTATGAGTCAATTCTGAACGACTTATGTGAGATTAACTGAAAATTTAATTGATTGAATTATAGTTCAGAGAATATTATAAACACACAAAGTGTAAGTTTGACTCTAAGTGTGAATCACATATGCGACATTCTTGTAGTGAATTTAGACAAAGAATACCTTTCTCTGGTGTTTACAATGGGACTAGTGGATATGCCAACCTACTTTTGGGGGCTGAAAAACTGTGGTTCTAAACCTATATAGTGTACATGAGCTCCAGAATCCGACAGGATCGGATGGTGTATGAACCTGTTTTGGTCACTAAAAACCATAAGAATGTATCCTTTGACACTGCTTTACCGTCTTTTGGGTCAGACGTGGTGGTGGTGAATCCTTAAGACTACCATTTATTTTGATCCGGTCAGCATTCCATCCCTTGCACAAATTGTGAGATTTTATGTGACGCGTCTTTTGGTGCCCATAGTGCACCAAATGTTTTCTAATGAAAGTAATATAATAATTCATAGAAAAAAGCAGCATTCTAGAAGTATTATTATTATTGGTTATCCAACTAAGTTTCGACAAAATGTTTAGCATTCGGACAAACTGCATAAATATCCTCAATTAAAGTTGAAATCTCATACATTTATTCCCCTTAATGAATGTGAACAAAGCAAGAACTACAGTTTTAGCAGAATAAAATGTTACCATCTTTTATTTCGTTGCCTTCTCGTCGGCTGCTTACATGGCAAAGAGATTATTAAATATATCTACAACAACAATTTTGACATACTTGCACAGACAGTTCATTTTAAACAAAAAACCAATCGATCAATATACGCATACACTATATATATATATATATATATATATATATATATATATATATATATATATATATGCAATATTAAACACTATTCCGAAATATAATAATCATGCACACTGGAAACTTTTAGCATTTCTCATTCGGAAGAAAGAGAGGTGAAAATATCCAGTTACCAGGTTGGCAAAGAAAGACTGATAACCGCTTCTTTCTGGACGCATATCTACGATTTTCTGAACACGTACCAAAAAGCTTACGTTAAAGGGAATAAATGCTTTAAACATTGCCGTCGCCAGGCGTCTCCTCGACACGGGTCGGTCATGAGGTGAACGTCGAAAAGTCGTTCAACATTATCAATAGGCAAAAGAGCTCAATTCTCCTTAAGTTTGCTGAAGCCATTTCCATCAAGCGCCTGAAACCTAATTTATGTGTCCAGAAAGAAGCGGTTATCAGTCTTTCTTTGCCAACCTGGTAACTGGATATTTTCACCTCTCTTTCTTCCGAATGAGAAATGCTAAAAGTTTCCAGTGTGCATGATTATTATATTTCGGAATAGTGTTTAATATTGCATATATATATATATATATATATATATATATATATATATATATATAGTGTATGCGTATATTGATCGATTGGTTTTTTGTTTAAAATGAACTGTCTGTGCAAGTATGTCAAAATTGTTGTTGTAGATATATTTAATAATCTCTTTGCCATGTAAGCAGCCGACGAGAAGGCAACGAAATAAAAGATGGTAACATTTTATTCTGCTAAAATTGTAGTTCTTGCTTTGTTCAAAGTTGAAATCACCTAGTCTCTAGGGTTATTTGTATATTCAACTGAGTGACTGAGTTGGAATATAGAGCTTTTTTTCAGAAGCGCACCAGTTCAGGTTGTCACTCTTCATCAGGCACACAAAGGTAGGGGGAAAAGAGAAAAAAGATTTGAAATGTACAGGAGAAAGAAAGAAGAGCTACATGGGAAAACATATTTTTTGTTTGATGGATATTCGAGATCACATATATTGAATGCATCTGCGGTACTAAGAATAACTCTGAGATATGTCACCAGTAGTCTCCAGCCATTGGCTCTTAACATCCCGAGGATCCCAACCAATCATCTGTGTTTCATCCTTATTGTTAGCTCCCATTTAATGAGATAAACAGACTTGGATAAGGTGTTTATTATTCTATAACTCTATCGTACTACACTGTCAAAACTATATTTAAAGTCAAAAAATTTACGTACAAAGCAACTAGCCAAAATTAGGTTAGGTGATGTACTATATTACTACTAAGTGGAACTGTGGCTTATCGACGTGTTTTCGAAACCCAAGCTTTGAACAGCTAGGTAATATCGATAATAACACCATACACAGAATAGATTTGGCTTATTACCAACTGCATGCAACTGTGCTAGTTACATTCTCCCAGGTACTATACTAGGTAATTGTAATAGCCGAAGTTAGTAGTAGTAGTAGGCAGGCCAGACGAATGAGCTACAATCCTTCTTACTTAATTTCTTGACATCAATAATGAGATTATTCATTATCTCTCTCTAGTTTTAGTACTTTCACCTGATTGCTTTAAAGTTATTCAATCGTTTAAATTTCATTCTTCACTACACTGTATTTGTTGTGTTTGTCCAAAAAGGAATAGAAACTAAGTAGTTCATTATCTGTATGTGTATTCCTTAGTGGAAGATTATTTTGACTTGATATATACACGTAAATAAATCCTGTATAAAAGAAGATTCTGTTCTGTTCAACAATTAAAGCAAACAATTTTGGTTGTACTTGTTATCAGTTCTTTAAGAGAACGCATTGCTTATTGTTCCCCTATCTGCGAAAATTGGGTATTACTTTATTGATTTAGTATTATCACTATTACTTTTATGATTATTATTATTAGTAGTATTGGATAGTCACTTGGAAAATAGATGAGAATAAAATATCTATTCGAAAATGTATTTGTACTGATTGATTAGTTGGGTGAAACAAAACATGTATGGCCTATGCGTACACTTGACAATGAAACGTACTTAATGTTTGTGTAAAGTTTTATTGATGATAATCACATTAGATACCATAACCTTTTGTGTAGATATAAAAAAAAGAAGTTATAATTTATGAGACTGACTTAGTAAAAATTTAGGCTATTCTACCACACCTCTACTCTGGTTCATTGTGTACATTTAATATCGGACAACCTTTCCAATACCAATGGTAATGTGAATAATTTTTAATATTTAGAATCTCTTATTCAAGTATTCTGGCACATGGAAACATACAAGGGAATTGAATAACTACTTGGATACAGTAATCGAAACATTTACTGATGTTTAGGATTTCAGTTCTTGATATGGAAATGTCAGGATAATACCCGAGCTGCACAGGATTAGAAGCCAGGGTATAAACCCTATAATATATAATAACTGTATTCAACTTAAATTTAGTCTCTTATTCTGCTATTGTAATACATTTATTCATTGAAATTCTTACCATTTACTGTGATTTATACACTGACCTATGGAAAATTCATTCAAGTGTGTGCGTCAGTGTTTTAACGGTAGGAATGTTCTCCAAACATGCGCATAGTCCTGGTTCGATCCTTGGACAGCGTACTTCACCTAGTTGGTGGTAGTAAGTCAGATAAAGTGGGAAGGATGGATGGGCGTCAGGATAACGACACTACCGCTGCCGAAACTTCAAAATGCAAAGTCAAAACCGTATGTTCCACTAGAAAAACTGAAGAATGAAGGAAATCTGTGGTACTACATAGTTTTTCATTTAGCATAAAATGTATCTACAATGAATCAACAAAATAGTTTCTTTATTTCGACTGTAAGGGCATCTAAGATATCCTAGTGAAGTGAAGTGTTGTTGGCGGACAGTACTGTACTGAAATGGTATAATCTAATTGCGAAATCCTTGATAACTTTAAGTTCTCAATCACTTTGTTCACTACCTATAAAATAGTAATATTAAAAATGTAGATTTTGTGAAAAATTACATTTGTAAACGTAGAATTCTAGATTTTTGTTTAAAAATATATAATTCAAGAAGTATATGTCCAGATGAATTCTTTATTCTCCTTATTTTGTTGATGATCATTGTGCATGCTCGATGATTACACAAAACGTATGTTATTTTGTCGTTATCTGTATGTTTCTATAGAATTTTGTTATTTTTATTCTCTTGGGTTCTGAGTTGAACATATGGGGCTTCAACACTACGTCACAGTTTCATCCTGTTCTCTGCAATCCATTTTAGTTGGATCCACGATTACCCATAAACTTTCTCCTGTTTTTCACACTCTCTCTTCCATGGCACCCTGGAACTGACACCCAACTCGTCGTTTCCTATTCGAGTTCCACTTGAGGGTCTCTCTGGGGTGTGATGTCACTCAACAGTCTATTAAGCATGTTTCCGATCTATCTCCATTTCCTTCGCCATATCTTTGGACAATTGGTTCTTTTTTGGTTCTTAACAAATTTTGTCTTCTTTGATGAATGTGCTTTCTGATAAGACAGTTAAAAAAAGCCTCATTTAGTAGTGTGTGTGAAAAACGAGGGATGAAGGTTTTGTCACTTCTTTTTCTACCTAATATAAGAAAATAAGGAATCAACATTGTATGAGGTCTGTAACAGCGAATAATTCATGTAAGAAATGTTTTACTTAATTTACTTGTTGACGTCGTTTTACACGTATCGTCCTCGAAACAATTAGCCGTGGTTAGTTGATATCGGTTCCCATCTTATTCCACCTTTTAATATCTCTGCCGGGTAATTTGAAACGAGGCAAAGCGGCAGGACCCGACGGAATTATTCCGGAGGTGTTTAAATATGGGGGTGACATACTAGTTTGTAGATTAACTGAGGTACTAGGCAAAGTCTGGGAATCAGAGA